TAACCGTCGAAAAGCTTTGTCCCGTTACTTGATCTCTGAATGTTTTTTTTTTGTGATTTTTTGCTGATGTGATCTCCAAGCATATACAAACAATTTTGACGGTTTGGATCATTGAAATTAGTTTTGGAGAATTCGTAAAACGATAGATTGACTAACACTTAGAGTTTATTTATACTTTCATTAAGTATAACATAAGATTTTGTGGTATCCACTTGTGTAAATATTTTAAATTGAAGATCGAATTCATTCATTGTATTCATATAGGGTCAAGGAGTGTAGTTATAAAAAATCATCTAAATCGGAGTTAAAATAACCGTTAAATCGTGATTTTTCGTTTATAACCGTCGAAAAGCTTTGTCCCGTTACTTGATCTCTGAATGTTTTTTTTTGTGATTTTTTGCTGATGTGATCTCCAAGCATATACAAACAATTTTGACGGTTTGGATCGTTGAAATTAGTTTTGGAGAATTCGTAAAACGATAGATTGACTAACACTTAGAGATTATTTATACTTTCATTAAGTATAACATAAGATTTTGTGGTATCCACTTGTTATTAGGGTGTAAAACATTCATTGCATTCGTATAGGGGTGTAAAACAGTTAAATTAATATATAATTATTTTAGTTTTTAGGGGTGTAAAACAGTTAAATTAATATATAATTATTATTATTAGGGGTATAAAACTACAAATAATAAAAAATAATTATATATAATTATTATTATTAGGGTGTAAAGCATTCATTGCATTCGTATAGGGGTGTAAAACAGTTAAATTAATATATAATTATTATTGTTTTTAGGGGTGTAAAACAGTTAAATTAATATATAATTATTATTGTTTTTAGGGGTGTAAAACAATTAAATTAATATATAATTATTAATATTTAGGCTATAAAACTGCAAATAATAAAAATAATTATATATAATTATTATTATTTGGGGTAATGCATATGATTGACAACAAGTATCTTGCGTCGAAATAGTCTCATATTGCGTCGAAATAGGCTAGGGTTGCGTCGGTTAAAACCGACGCCAAGTCTGACACACAAGTCCTAAGGTTAACATTGCGTCGAAATAGGCTAGGGTTGCGTCGGTTAAAACCGACGCCAAGTCTGACACACAAGTCCTAAGGTTAACATTGCGTCGAAATAGGCAGGGGTTGCGTCGGTTAAAACCGACGCGAATTCTGACATACCTGAAAAATGCCGTCGGTTAAAAGCGACAGAAAACAAGGAAAAAAAAAAAAAACAGAAATATAATTTTATGATACGATATCATAGCATACAAAATAAAACAAAGTCTAATTAATACAAAAAATAATTAACAAAAAATAATTAATATATTTATTCCCTGTCATCATCTGTTAGCTCTTCGTCGGTATTGGCATGATTAACGAACCCGGTAGGCAACGCTAATGATTCAAGAAAGGGAGTCTCTTCCACGCCAACCCTTGTATGAAAATTTTCATTATCAAGAATTCGATCATCCAAGTTCGGCGTGTCATAATCATCAATAGCATCACTATCCTCTAATACGTCAAATAAATCTCTTGGCTGAGTTCGAACAACTACGTGCCAATCTTTTTCAATCGTGTCCTCCACGTAAAATGCATGTAATGCTTGTGATGCTAGTATGAAAGGATCCTCTTTAAATCCCAATTGATTGAAATTCACCATAGTAAATCCATATTGATCAGTCTTCATTCCTCGTGGACTTTCACTATTAACCCATTCGCACTTAAATAACATCACAGCTCGACCCCTATCTCCTGCTTCAGTAGGACCACAATATTTGACCTCGAACATATCTACAACTCTGCCATAACAATTTACTTGCCCAATTGCTCCAGGAACATTTGCAGGTACAAAGACACCACAGTTTTGATTCTTATGCTTATCATCCACAGATTTTATACGAAATCTAAATCCATGAACAATGTGACTTTTGTATCTGCTCACAACCCTACTAGGATAATTAGCTAGCCAATGCAAGTCTTGAGATATCAATGTGTCATTAGCATCATATCTTGAATTCATCTGTAATAAGTATGAAGATAAATATTGACAGAATAACTATAAACATGTTATAATTAAAATGCAAAACAATAAATAAATAATATGATTATTATATCAACTCACATGTTGCTTGAACCATTCTGGAAATTCTTTCTTGCTTAGCTCTTTAATTTGTCGCATAGTTAACCTTTCTCGACGATATTTAGTTTTCAAGAATTCTTCATGTTGCCTACACAATTATGTCCAATTTAGATAATTATTTTTTCAAAGTTAAGAAAACCAATAAAACATTAAGACGTATGATTAAACATTCTTACCTTCTAAATGGGCTAACTTCATCACAATTATTTAGAATGTATCTATGGCACTGATCAAGAACATTTAGATTGAGCTCCACATTTTCTCCTGAACCCATATAACATCCTTTCGAGTCAAAAATTGATAACCCACCAGATACTCCACGTCCAATCCCATCTTCATTTCGGCCTCTACGGGTACGACGAGACTCAACGTCTCTAAGATACATGGAACAAAATGACAAGCACTCATCCACCAAATATGCTTCAGCAATAGAACCTTCAGGACGACCCTTATTACGAACATAGCGCTTCAGTGTTTGCAAATACCTACAATTATAAAACGAAATACAAATTATTATAATTATTAATTAAAGTTATGACTACAATTGTAAAAAAATTATAAAAATTTATTCATTACCGTTCAATTGGATACATCCATCTATATTGAACAGGCCCTGCAAGTGCTGCTTCATCTGCCAAGTGAACTAGGAGGTGCACCATTATATCAAAAAATGCAGGAGGGAATATTTTCTCAAGTTGACATAATGTCAAGGCAATTCTTGAATTCAGTTGCTTAAATCCTTCCTCAGACTCCTTCTTACTACATAACTGTCTGAAAATTGCACTCAACTCTAATAAAACCATAGTAACAGCTTTAGGCAAAACCGGGCGTATTGCAAGCGGGAGTAACTGCTGCATTAAAACATGGCAATCATGACTTTTCAACCCATGTATTTTTCGTTCATTCACGTGCACACATCGTGACAGATTTGATGAATATCCATCTGGGACCCGAATAGTAGACAATACTTTACAAAACGCAGTTTTTTCTTCTCTTTTCAATGTGAACAATGCTGGAGGTCGAAATGTTCTATTCCTTCTCTACGTGGGTGTTGACTATGTCTTATGTTCAAGAATTCAAGATCTGCACGTGCCGCCAATCCATCTTTAGACTTTTCTATATCTAGCAATGTTCCCACCACACTGTCACATATATTCTTCTCGATATGCATAACATCAAGATTGTGTCTAATCAAGAGATGCCTCCAATAAGGTAGTTCATTAAAAATCGATTTCTTCTTCCACTGACTGTTACTACTTGTACTGCTCGAAGCTTTTCTTCTGCGTTGCCCAATTGAAGCATCCTTGTTTGGTTTTCCAAAAGTAAATCTCAATGTAGAAAGTTCTTCGAGGCATTGTAAACCAGTCCACTGCCTTGGTGCAGTACGATGCTCTCGACAACCATTAAAAGTGATGGTTTGCCTTCGAAACCTATGATTATCTTCAAGAAATCGTCGATGCCCCATATAACAAATCTTGCGACTCGCTGGCAAGTAAATAGATTCTTTATCATGCATGCAATGTGGACAAGCTTTATAACCATGTGTACTCCATCCTGACAACATTCCATAAGCCGGAAAATCACTTATGGTCCATAACACGGCAGCCTTCATCGTAAAACTTTGGTTGGAAAACGCATCATAAGTGGGAATGCCCACCTCCCACAACTCATTCAGCTCGTCAATCAATGGACGCATGTATACATCAATTTCTTTACCAGGACTGCGCGGTCCTGGTATTAACAAAGACAATAACAAATTTGGTTGCTTCATGCACATCCAAGGTGGCAAATTATAAACAGAAAGCACCACAGGCCATGTGCTATGATCATTCCTCATTTTCCCAAAAGGATTAAATCCATCACTGGCTAACCCTAATCGGACATTTCGAATTTCTGACGCAAAATCCGGATATAAATTATCCAAATGCTTCCATGCGGGAGAATCTGAAGGATGTCTCATAAACTCATCCTTAGGACATTCAGTTGCATGCCATCTCATATGTTCAGCCATATGCTTCGACATAAAAAATCGTTGCAATCGTGGTTTTAAAGGAAAATACCACATAACCTTAGCTGCGACCTTTTTCCTCGAGCTATCCTCTGCATTGGTAATTTTATATCTTGATTTACCACAAACTGAGCACACGGTCAAATCTGAAGTATCTTTCCAATAGATCATGCAATCATTGGGACATGCATCAATTTTCACATACGACAGCCCCAAGTCATTTATAAGTTTTTTTGCCTTATAACAGGATTCAGGCAAACAATCCCCTTCAGGCAACATTCTTTTAATTAACTCCAGTAAAGTGGTGAAGATCTCGTCAGGCATTCCCGCTAAACACTTGATCTGATACAATCTTACAACTGCTTCCAATTTCTTAAACTCCTTACAACCTGGCCACAAATCTTGATCTGCCTCTTCAAGCAACTTAAAAAAAGTCTGCACCTCTTCTGGACGCCCTTCCCCAATAGGGGGTTCAGTAGATGGCCCAACACCTTCTTCTGTTAATGGTTGGACAAATACATCATTAAGAAAATCATGCATGCCAATCACCTCATCTCCTGTTTCTTCTTCTCCAATTCCCACATTTTGCTCTCCAATGTTTTGCTCGCCATGATGTCGCCAACAAGCGTTTTTATAATCTTTATCCATATCATACAATATGAGATGTTCAACAATGGTGTTCCTAACAAAAGAATATCGATTACAACATCTTTTGCAAGGACATCTAAACTTATCAGGACCAACACCATTTGCAACTGCTTGATCCAAAAACAAATTAATTCCAGTTGTATACGCTTCAAAATTTCGGGGTATTGTCAACCAACACTTGTCCATATTTTACCACTTTACGAAGGTAAAATATTACGTTGACACTAAGATGCCTACAATCTTTCAATCCCTATCATGTAGGCATAACTATCAAAATTTTCAATTTCTATCTTTCACCCCTCGAACTCTATCACGATTGCAATCTTTTAATTTTCAACACCTATTATAGTAAAAACAAATTAAAATAACAACAAAAAGTTGTCAAAATTATGCTCATCTAATCCATTCTAATAAATAACAACCAAAAGTTATCAAACTTATCAAAATAACAACAAATTCAAATAACAATTAGAGTGCAAAAAAAATTAATTAATATATTCTTATATTCCTAAATATTATAAGTTTAGGTTATATTCTTATATGAAAGGTTATATTCTTATATGAAAGGATATTCTTATATTATAAGTTTAGGTTATATTCTTATGAAAGATTATATTCTTATATTCCTAAATATTATAAGTTTAGCTTATATTCTTATTAGAGTGCAAAAAAAAAAAAAAAAATTAACATAATATATTCTTATATTACTCAATATTATAAGTTTATGTTATATTTAATATTGTTAATTTAACATAAATGCTTATAAATATTATTCATTCCATCTTCTCATAACAATTCAAATTATGTTCATCTAATCCATTCTAGTAAATAACAACAAAAAATTATCAAAATAACAACAAATTAAAATAACAATTAGAGTGCAAAAAAAAAAAAAAAAATTAACATATTGTATTCTTATATTACTCAATATTATAAGTTTATGTTATATTTAATATTGTTAATTTAACATAAATGCTTATAAATATTATTCATTCCATTTTCTCATAACAATTCAAATTATGTTCATCTAATCCATTCTAGTAAATAACAACAAAAAATTATCAAAATAACAACAAATTAAAATAACAATTAGAGTGCAAAAAAAAAAAAAATTAACATATTGTATTCTTATATTACTCAATATTATAAGTTTATGTTATATTTAATATTGTTAATTTAACATAAATGCTTATAAATATTATTCATTCCATTTTCTCATAACAATTCAAATTATGTTCATCTAATCCATTCTAGTAAATAACAACAAAATATTATCAAAATAACAACAAATTAAAATAACACTTAGAGTGCAAAAAAAAAAATTAACATAATATATTCTTATATTACTCAATATTATAAGTTTATGTTATATTTAATATTGTTAATTTAACATAAATGCTTATAAATATTATTCATTCCATTTTCTCATAACAATTCAAATTATGTTCATCTAATTCATTCTAGTAAATAACAACAAAAAATTATCAAAATAACAACAAATTAAAATAACAATTAGAGTGACAAAATTAATTAATTCGACTAAATTTTTATTAATTTAACAAAAATAGTAGAATTTTATCTAAGTGCTTAAATTATAATTTTTAAATAAATAAACTTGTGTATTATACAATTTAAAAATTAAAGAAGTTAGGGATACAAACCTGATTTGTTGAAGAATTTCGACGTCAACAATTCTTTATGTACTCAACCAACTCCAATAACTTTCCTACAAAAATAAATTGTAACTAAAAATTAAACAAGAAAAACTTACTGTTGTGAAAATAAAAATATTATAAGCAAGAAAAACTTACTGTTGTGAAGAGGAACAAATGAATTTTGAAAACCAAAGGAGAAAGCTGAAAGAGAGAACAGAGGAACAAATGAAGTTTGCAAACCAAAGGAGAAAGCTGAAAGAGGAACACGGGAGACTTTGTAAAAATTGGAAGAACGAATAAGAAAAGTGCAAGAGAAGAAAAAGAAAACACGGGGGAGAGGGTATAAAGAGCAACAATGTGTTGCTTACAACCGACACTGGTTTTCAAAATATATGTCGCTCAAAACCGACGTAGGATTTAAAATATTAAAAACAAGAATTAGTGTCGCCTAGAAGCGACACTAATAGTTTATGTCACTTAAAAGCGACACTATTTTATTTAAAGCGACGCCATTGCTTAAAAATATTAAAATATATGTCGGTTATAAGCGACACTAAATTTTTACGTCGGTTTAAAAGCAACATAGAAATTTTATGACGCTTATAAGCGACACTAAATACGACGTCATCTTCACTGAGTGTCGCAAATCTCTTTTTCGCCACTATATAATATTAAAGCGACGCAAGAAGTGACACTATTAGGTCCTTTTGTAGTAGTGGTACCTGGTATAATGTTCTTGATCTGCCGAAAATGAAGTCCACATTTCCTTTAATGTGACAGTGGTAGAAGTAGTGAGATCCGGTCTCGTCCAAGAGCGTATCCTGCGTCCCCAAAACCTGAACTCTGTAGAACATGGCTTTGTCACCCGCAACTCTAAGCGCCACTGCTTGCATTCCATATCCTCCAGGTACAGGAACCACTGTGTTCTGCAATCACCACTTAAAATTGCAGACCAATTACTTTCTGAATGCTTAAACTTCCTCCATTCAATTTTAACATACGCATCGCATCATCTTGTAAAAGTAAAAACCCGCGTTCGTTATTAGTTATTACCTCGAAGGTGATCCCAGTTGCGCAAAAGTAATCAGCCTCTATGGCTACAGAAGCAGTTCTATATGTTCCAAGTTCGCAACCGGTGCCATCCTTATCAGATGCCTTGTTGTTCCAAGTAATAACAGTTTCAGAAGTTTTTTTCTGGTTCCCAATAAATGATATGTATGGCTTCGAAATCGGTACAAGTACCTTCTCTCTGCATCAATTTACAAATGAACAAAAAATAATGTAAAAATTAAATTTTGAGAAGCGAATTATGGCGATACTAGCAAACTGTACCAACACCTACAAGTGTGCTTGAGAGAGGCTAAAATAATTTTATTTAATTTATTTAATTTTTAATTTTGAGATAAGACCTGTTAAGTTTGCATGACTCATGACTTTGAGGGTGCGCCAAAAAACAACAAAATTATAATGCATGTAATTACTAAGTTGACCATGATTTATTTTTTTTTCAATTTTAGTGAGAGGGATAGAATGATATTTTTCTAGAGTTTTGGTTAACAGAAATTTATATTAATAAGTAGTTTAGATATGAGTAAATTTTTCTCTAATTTTTTTTAGTAAACAGTTTTTAGGAAAAGACACCCACTAAAAGCAAATGTAGCTTACCCACGTAGCTCAACTGGGTTTAAACTGACCCCTCGAAAACGCTAAAAACTTATATAAAAAAAAAATGTAAGATCTGAAAATTCTTTGGGGTTTTGATGAATTGAAATGTTTTTGTTAACGGTACAAAGAAATTACAACGAGGATCCTCGAGAGATCAGTGAAATGTTTTTTGCATGCCATGAGTGAAATGTTGCTCAGACAGACCTGTAAATTCCAGGAAGATGTAAATTTTGACTCTTTCTGTATTTTGTTCCGGAACCATATCAACTGCTCCTTGAACTGTAAGAGAATCTCCTCCTCCATTCTTGTCAACCACAATGATCCGGCTTCCATTAACGCGTTCTTCTTTCGTGTTCAACCCCAACTTACGGTCATCCACCTTCAAATCATCCCAGCTGATATAATTCCTTGCAAATGATTCGCTTTGCGAGAACCCGACCTTAATGCCACCCAAGAAAAACAACACAAAACCACCAACACAAACACCCAAGACACTGAATCCCATGACACCCTCAAAGATTCTCTGACTCAAACTGTTTCGACAATCTGTGAAACAAAACTTAGAAATGCAAGAAAACCCCAGCAGCAGGATGTGTGTTGTTAGCCCAAGTTTCGAAGATTCGTTCGGGTTTTTTGGAGTTGGGAAGAAGGGAAAGAGGTGAAGATAATAAATGAGGGAGCGTGGGGTGTTGCTTCTTATGTTCCTTGTCAAATATAGAGAGCAGCATAAGAACAAGAACCATTAATAAAAAATTAAAACTTAAAAAACAAGATTTATTTATGGAATTTAAAGATCACACAAACACACACACATACAACACATCCCACATATCTGTGGAGAATTTAAGGTTGGCGGAATTTAAAGAGACTTGCGTCAGTCATCAAATTTGTGCTAAAAGCAAAACAAAAACATAATTAAAATGCTTAAATGGGGAGTTAATATTTTGATTGAGCTTCTAATCAGGTGAGTTATAATTTGCTTAGAAGATAAAACGATCTTTAACTGAAGAAGCCAAAGAGCGGTTATGCTTTCTTAGGTGATGATTTCGAAACTGAAGAAAAATGAAAAGGTAAAAATGCCAAATGATATTTTGAATGGGATTTGATTATATATATAGGTGTGTATATATAGCTGTAGTCTCCTTGCATGAGGATTTGAGTAAAATGGCTGAGGATTCAGAAATTGGTCACACGCACAGAGCAGTTCACGCACGTTATAGACCCACGTCAAATTATAGACTCCCAATTTTCTTTTTCCCAAAACTGCTGCATTTAATTAATTTTTAATATCATTTTTCATGTAATCATAAGTAAAACTAGCATATGGGCACACACACAGTGTGTGATATATATATATATTTTAATTAGAGATATGTTAGGATAACATGTAGGTGAGACTTTAAAATAAAAACAGCAAAATTTGGTTGTGTGAAATTACATTTCTACCCCATATTTCTTATTCATGTTCTGTTTTAATTAGAAGGTTAAACTAGTAATTTTATAGAATTTTGGTTGAAAATGAGTGTTTTATTAATTAGTAGAGATTAGGGAAACTCATCACACACTGTTGTCTGTAAATATAAAAACTAAAAAAATATATGGAAAAGAGAAAAGTTGGAGGGAAATGTGTGTGAGAGAGAGATAATGTGAGTTTTTTTTATTTTTATTTTACAGTAGAAATGCTATCATAACACGTGGATGAGGTTTGAAAAAAAAATAGAAAAAAAAATAGTTTATGCGAAATTACATTACTGCTCATTATTTTATTTTTTTTGTGATAGAAGATTAAATTGTTTTTACCCTCTTTTAATTGACAAAGAATGTTTTATTAATAAGGAGTTTAGATAATTGACTACTTGAATTCTCAAGCTAACAAATGATAGGTCTTTATTAGGAAGGAGTTACAATCATTTTTTAACAAGTACAACTGCACAAGTGATACCAAGGGAGGAGAATTCAAACTCGATACCTTGGGCATAAGGGTGAATGTTCTTAACTCAATCTTTGTAAAATTTGAGCCTTTTTAGAGCTAGTTTTCTTTTGGCTTCAAGTAGTAAATTAGTAATTGAGCTAGACACCGGAGTAAAAATAATCACGAGATGCGAGATGCACCAACTTCATTTGCCTATATGACTATATGTGCATGTGGGTTTATGCTAAACTTATTACTACCGAGAATATTATGTATCATATCAGTTGATTATTTAAAATTGAATTTAATGCACTATAGATACATAAATTGATTACATAGCAACAGTCACATAATTTGGTGACTTATTTTACTTTCATTAAACTTAAGTCAATAAAAAATAACGAACTTGAAAACTCTTGTACTATTGAATAGGGAAGTGCGATAATTGATAAATAAGTTTACTTGCACAATTTATGGATATTCTGAGAAGTACTTATCCTAGCATGACAGAAATGCATATGCATGTTCCATATTTTGTTCCCATACTGAATAACTTTTACTTGCCTTAATTAGTTCCATTGTGACTATAGGCTTCCAAGTGGTAGGCATACAAAATAAATGACAAAAATTCTTTGCTTTTTAACAAATTTAATCTCTTACATCACATTTTTATTTTGATATAGTAGGAATAATAATGCACAAGAAATACGTTTGTCAATTTACTAAAGAACAATTAAGGCAAGTCGCGTATTTTTTCTACTTGTCATCTCTTTTTCACGCAATGATAGTCTCTAACACGGCAAGCAAGATCAATTCACGAATGTCGCAACTCTTTTGTAATAAACTAGTCAATAAAATAATTTGCAAATAAGTAATATTTGTGCGAAAGAATAAATAGCTATGTGATTGTTGAGATTTAAACAATTTATGGGAACTTGTAAATCGCATTTATCGTACCAAATAAATAAAAATTTTAGAAACACTAGTATATGATACCTCACATCAGCAAATACGCTGCTAAAGTAGTTTTAATGGAAAATGCGTTTTTCATCTTACGAATGATTCGCACCTTTGCCTCATCCCATATAAGTGTAGAACCCCTTGTGTCAAAATTTCAAAACCATCTAAGGCATCATTTTCGGAGAAAATCAAAACTTAAGCATTCTTTCCACCATCATGGCCGGACTAAACATGTTTTCAAATTGTGGTCATTTCGCTTTTGGCAGGTTGTGTACTTCCAATGTTGGCACATTTGGATGACTCGACAGCTGTGGTTGAGTGCAAAAAATATTTCAGTATAAAGTATGCATTTGACATGTACAACTATATTTTCAAAGAGAAAAAAATATAGTACGGTAGTTGCCAGACTCTTGTGGTTGGGAAGACCGTGCCATAATGTTTTCGAGAATAGCACTTTTACTTATGAACATACCGGGAACAGAACTGCCATTCAAGCTAGGGCTGACCAAGTATTTAATCATTGTATAATTGTAAATTCTGTCCCACCTCCTTCTTCTCTATCTTAAATAGAGAATTTAACTTCTCTAGCGCTAATAAATTAGTGGCATGTTTCAAGAGATAGAATAAAATTTTAATAAATTTGATTTGATGCCTTATTACGACTTCACTTAATAGCTTTGACTTGTACACCATTTTCTTCAAGATTGAGGAATGAACAATAGCAATCAAACAACTACCACGCTAATTTAGAAAAAACTTCGTGAAACATTGTAAGTAATATAGATCAGTTTTATATTTGTTCGCCCTT